CCTCCTGTTTAACTGCCCCAGTCCTTCTCCCCAAACTCTCCGCTTCTGTTGTATCCATTGTGAAAAAGAGACTCATCTAGAGAAGATGTGAAAACTATGAATCTCGGAGTTCTCAGTCATTGGCAGTCACCTGGACTGATAGTTAAAATATGGATTTTTCAGGCTACAGCCCCCACAGTTTTTTGTTTATTAGTTCTAGAATGAGGCATAAGAATTTGCATTTCTAACCAGTTATCTGGTGATACTTATGCTGCTGGGGCAGATGCCACTCTCAGAGCCACTGTACTAGACGAAGGTGCATTCTGAGAGCAAACACAGTCTGTTAAGCATTCCTAGAAGTGGTAGAAGCTATTTTGACTCATCAGTTTAAACCTTGAGAGTTACTGTATGGAGACTCCATGTGGGCCCAAGAACCCAGTCAAAGACTAGTAAAGTGAGGAACTCTCCTGGTGATCTGCTTTTCTGGCAGTAGTAATGAGTAGGAAACAATGTAGCACCATTTTTTAAACAAGAAGGTAGACTCTGCTAGACCAAGGAGTTACATTAACCATCAGAAAGATTACAATATACAGAGGAGTATGACCCTGGGGAGCCAAAATTAATACAAGAACAAAGAATTTTGTTTCTTCTGTTGTTTAAATTGTTAGACTTGCTGATACTGAATAGGTTATTAGACTTACTGAGCATGACAGACAAGGCTATCCATAGTCTAGCCTTCATTACTGCTGCTATGTCTTCTGGGATTATCCCCTTCCCAATGTGTGCTGTGTCCACTAACGCCACCTCCTTTACTTGCTCCTTAAACAAAACATGCTCTCTTAAGTCTGTCTTCTTTCTCATATATCTGTTCTATTTGCATGAGATACCTTTCCTCAGTCTCATCCTCCTAGTCATTTGTTTACTGCTTGTCACTTAAGATTACCTTATGATCCTCTCTCTGGAGATCCAGTGTTCTAGTTAATAATATTTCATTGCACTCTGCATAACACTGTTATGGCACCAATCACTCTTCTATCATCTATCTATCATCTATCTATCTATCTATCTATCTATCTATCTATCATCTATCTTTCTATCTATCTCTCCTTTCTCTTTCTGTTCATGATGAAGTAAGTTACTTTGCAAAACGCTTGCTCTCATCAGAATGATCTGCCTCATTATGAACCCAACAGCAATGGAGCAAAGTAATTATGGACTGAAATCTCTGAAATGGTGTATCTATCTATCATCTATCCATCCACACAAAGTAATATAATTTTTATCTTTCTTTTGTCTTTGAATCTTTACCACCATAGTTCCTGGAACATACTAGATATTCAGTACACATTTTTTTTTGATAAATTCATGAATCACTTAGTCACATTTTGGGAAATGTGGTTAATGGTATAGTGCAGCAGTGGAGTTCCAGTTCTGAATCCAAGTCATGACTTCATTAGCTGTCGAGCATAACTTAGGGAAAATTGCTTGAACTCTATGAGCCTCAACTTCCTTTGAGCCTTCATTCTTTAGAGCATAATAGGTGCTCAAAGTGGTAGCTACTATTTTAACATATACACACATGGATCTTAGAAGAGTATTAACATTCTTATTATATATATGGTCAAGGTGGGAAATTTTGGTCAGGGTAGTAGTATAAATAAAGTCATAAGTAGTTAAACCTACATTTTTGTTGTTTTGCACCTGGGTCTCCCTGTAGCCACAGCTGGCCTGGAACTTGCTACCTGCCTCTGCCTCTCGGGTGCTGGGATTGAAGACCTGTGCCATCACACCCAACTACTTTTTACAATGTTCAAAGGAGTTCTCTAATTTTTTTTTTTTTTTTTTTGATCTTTTTGAGACAGGGTCTCCCTGTAGCCCCAGCTGTCCTGGAACTCACTATGTAGACCAGGCTGGCCTTGAACTCACAGAGATCTGCCTGCCTCAGAACAACTCAGCTGAGGATATTGATGGCATGCTGATCCTTGCTTGGTAAAAATTCTCTTACTAATTAGCATCCTAAAAATTATTGACTAGCAGACTGACTGATAATTTAAAAGGAGTATATGTAAATAATTTAGCTGATTCCCAAAGCTCAAGCACAAAGTTGAGAGAGAAAAGGAAGGGAAGATAATGGTTCAAAATTGGTTTGCAGGACTAGAGGTTTGTGGGGGATTTGTTGTTGTTGCTGTTTTGGTTTGAGACAGAGCCTTCCTGTAACTCTAGCTGGCCTGGAACTGACTGTATAGATTAGTCTGGTCGAGATCTCACAAAGACTCACCTATCTCTGCCTCTGGAGTACCTGACCTTGAGGTTTTATTTAATGCAGCTTCAGTATAATTCAAGAGTGATTTTATATGAGCTGGGAGTGGTAGTACACACCTTTAATCTCAGCATTCAGAGGCAAAGGCAGATGGATCTCTGTGAGTTTCAGGCCAGCCTGGTCTACAAAGTGAGTTTCAGGCCATAGTGAGATGCGTCACAAAACAAAACAAAACACAAAACAGCTTTCTTTATACTGCATGTGTAGAATAGCATCCATAACAAGGAAGGAATTATGTTCCCTTCTGTAATGGTTGTACTACTAAGAACTACTGTGGCCAGTTCTAAACACCAGCTCTATGAAGCCTACCCATGGTAGTGTGGCCAAATGTGGAAGGAATGGGAACGAGTCAGTGAAGACTTGAAAAACAAGGCCTGGGGTGAAAGGGATGCCTTTGAACACTGGGGGAAGGCTTGCTTAGACTTATTCTGAATAATCAGAGAGTGCAGAACTAGTACTATAGTACTATATGGAACTTACAAGGAAGCGTATTTGTGGGAAACATAGTAATTGGGTGATAGGTCCCCTCCCAATCATTGTAGGGTTCAGAGCATGCTTTCATGAAGCAGGGATATTAGTGTACTGGATATTTCCCAAGTACAATGAAGGAGTTGGAAGGGTTTAGACAAACTGAGGTTCTGTCAACATAAGGGAAAGTTCTTAACTTTGATTTTCTTTATAGTGTATTTTCACAAGTAGATTTTTGGCATCACACATGAAAGAATTGAAAACCAAACTTTTTTAAAGCCCCAAAAAGAAAACAAAATTCCATAGTCGCCACAGTTTGCATTTGGCCTCTCTAGTAAAACTGCTGTTGTCTGCTGCTTCCCTGCTTTCTCTGAACTTGCTGGTCTGTTTTCTACGGTGCTTAGAAATCCTACCAGGCCTCTTCATTTGCAGCAAGGCTTATAGACTGCATGACTGCTCAAGTAAACAGTCTGGAGTATACAATTGTAATAAAAACGTAGTCTCAATTGTTGCAAAACTTTATTTTATGCAGTGACCATATTTGGTAGTATACCTCTAAAGAGTTTACAGTATGACAAAGTGACAGTATGCTATTGAGAATTAATTGGGCAGCAATGATTTCTAGTTGTAAAGAATTGAGAATGGGGATGGGAAATACAACGGAAATCAGAAAAATTCTAGAGCGGTATGTCTGTTTCTTGTTTTCCTTCCATCTGCTCACTCAGATTTGGAGGTAAACTACTGTATTATAAGAACTATTTTACTTTTGGAACTGGGGGCCCTTAACTTCCCTTTTTTCATTAACCTTGCCTTCCTCTTCTAATTCATCCTCTAAATAGAATCTTTTATGCTTCCCTAAGAGAGATTCCCTTTGTGTTGAATTTTGGGGTCGTGACTAGTGTAAATTATATGTGTTGTCTTATCAACTAAAGTATGTAATGAAAAATGTTATGAATAAGCCAAGTTTCTAAGCACATGCTTAAAGTGTTACTTAATCACAGTATTATCTATCTATCATATATCTATCAATCAATCAATCTATCATCTATCTATCATCTATCAGTCTATCTATCTATCTATCTATCTATCTATCATCTAGTTATTCTTCTATCTATTAAATCTAATCTGTTATTGTTTTCCCCAAATACTTCTGTCTATTAAGAGGTTATACACCGATGCTCTGGGTAACTTTCTGTGTGGTGATTAACACCATGACCAAAAGCTGCTTGGGGGAGGAAAGGGTTTATTTGGCTTACACGTCAGATCACAGTCTGTCACAGAGGATAGTCTCAGCAGGAGTTTAGGCAGGAACTGAAGCAGAAACCACAGGGGAACACTGCTTACTGGCTCATTCAGTTCACATTCAGCTACCTTTCTTATATAGCCCAGGCTCATGTGCCCAGGGATGGTACAGCCCACAGTGGGCTGGGCCCTGATACATCAATTAACAATCAAGAAAATTCCCCACAGACATGCCTCCAGGCCAGTCTGATAGAGGAAATTCTTCAGTTGAGATTCCCCCTCTTTCCTTGTATGTCAAATTGACATCCAAGATTAGCATCACAACTGATGAGTGAAGATATTAGGAATATAGAGAAAAAGGAGTAAATAAAAGTTTTTTACATATAAATAAAAATAGAAGATTAAAAAAACCTTCTTAGTTATTTTGATGGTTTACCTCCTAGCACTATGGCAGGGCTAATAATGTATTTTACTATGGAAAGAAAACAGTTTCTATTTCATTTGAAGTATTCCCTCAGTGAAAGTAACAGTTTGCAGTTTATGGCATTGAGGACTTCTTATTTCTATTACCTGACTTTTAAAATTTATTTATATGTACTTGTATGAGTTTCTACAGTGTATACATGTGTTACTGTAATGAATACCTGAGCTAAATCAGTTTAAAATGCAGAAAGGTCTATTGGCTCTTGATTTCAGAGGATTAGGTCCATGGTCACTTGGCTCTGTTGCTTTGGTCTTGTGATTTCACAGTCGTCACAGGAACGTGTGATGGAAGAGGTCTGCTTACCTGACAGTTGCTGGGAAGTGAGGGTGCAGAGGAGGGGCTAGGCTCCCAATATTCCCTTTAAAAGCACAATTCAGTGTTCTGAATTCCTTCCACTTCCTAGACCCTACTTCCTAAAGGTTTCACCATCTCTCAGTGGTCATGGGCTGGATACAGTCTTCAGAAACTATTGCTTCATTTTCTTGTTGGTTTTGTTTTTGTTTTCAGCCTCCTGGAACAGGATTCCAGGAGAACAAAACCCAGTGTGAACCCTGCAAATCAAAGGAGACATCTTTTAGAATTTTCTGCTAAAGACGTTCAAGACACATCAGATGGTGGCATCCAGAAGAACAGCTACAGGTAAGATGGCATATTGGTTTGTTTTAATGAAATGGAAATGTTGAATTCTATCTAGTATCACTTTACATATAAATTATTCATATACACTTCAATTATTGAACAAATGAAATTCTGAGACCATGGGTTTGTTTATTTTAAAAATCAATTCTAAGAATAAGTTTACTTTGAAACATTTCCCAGATTAGAAGTTTTGTTGAGATATGACCATAAAATATGCTTATGTGCATTGAAATACAAATATATTGAGATACATGTAAGTAAGGTCTTTGGGTTTTTTCACTTATTTTACCTATCATGTTTTT